TCAACTGTATTTACTACCTAATTATAAATAAGGTATTGAAGTTAAACTAAAATTTCATTTAAACTTTAACATTCTATATCTCGAAAGTAATGGAAATTAGGGAATATGTTTATAAACGCGTTTTCTTAACGCATTCAAACTTAATAGGTACCTATTCTAAACGAGTTATTTAAAATAGTGAGTAACTAAGTAGGTCTGGCATTTATTTGGTTCCTACATTGTCAAAATTCATATTTTTTCTACAGCGTAAATACATACCTAAAGCAGATAAAATAAAATCAGGTGAAAATAATATTAAATACGTCGAATTGTATGCTTTAAACGATAAAATCCGACCAGAATAAGCACCTGAAGGCTAAGTAGGTGGTTAATTGGAGTTAGTACTAATAGTGGCCTTAAAATATTCCTCGATACAAAACTTAATCAATGATAATTATTCAAACCGTACGATGTACGTATTATTCGATGTTGCCCCGTCATATATAATAGTTACTTCTGAATAAACAAAGGGGGCAAAACAATCATATAATTTTACTGATGTGTTCTTAGAAATTAAGTCCAAAATAGGAAAAACAACCTATTTATTGGAAATTATTCTTGAACCTAAACATCGATTAATAAAAAGTTTAACATGTAACATCAATATCTGGCAATGGAAAAAAACACAGTAATTGAATAAATATCAACAGATAAATCTGAATCTCTTGTTGAAAACAATGATAGTACTTAAATAAGGATGTAAATACCTATAATAGGACAAATGGCCATTTTGAAGAACGAACCAACGTCTTTGGTATCCCTTGAGATAATTAGTCCACTTAAAAAGCCAACCTTTCATGGTGGGCTCCAGCTGCGAACCGCCCGATTTAGCAGTAACACCGTCACCCATTTCCGAACAAAATCAACCCGAATTTCTACCTTAAATAGCCAAATAAATGGGACGTATTGGATTTTTCTGGGCTACCCATTTACACACTAATTTTCACCTGTCGGAATATTTTGTCATCCGTCAACGTCAAGAACAATTACATTCATAGGCTTGACGAATTGAACGCCTTTGAATAGTATGTAGTCTATGGGCTTGACTTACACATTTGACATTCGACCGAAAGTTTGGTATATGTGTGTGCATAGATAAAGACAAGTATGCGTGCTCATACCATAGAATTATGCCGCAGGCCAACCTGGCTAATGCAGGCAGCTAGAAATCGCACATACACATGTGGCTCATTCGCGGCCGCTCACCGCATGTGTTCCCGATCGCGATGAACACACAGCATATTTCGAGACTCGGGCATGTGACCTGTATTCAAATGTGATTAATTTATCTTTACATATAATATAAAGCAAATAGTTAATATATATTAAGAAAAAACGAAAAGGATCTAACCTTCAATGTAAAGAAAATATAAAACCCGAAATATTTAACTACATAAAGCTGCATGTCTTTACAGATAAAAATTGAAATAAATACCTGTATTATGCTATACAGGGTGAGTTATAGCATGAGTATAACAGCTGGACTGTAACGAACAGATGAGCTAAGTTTTTAACTACTCCAACACAAATGATGGTTTCAATCTAAATGTGGCCAATTTAGCCACCTACCACACATACAGGGTGTTTTTTTAGTGCGAGAGTCCATTATTTCCGTTGGTGCTGAACTTTCGAAAAATAGTTTCATATAAAAGTTGTGGACGCACGAAGTTCGCACATTTTAAAAATATCTTATATGATACAGTGTCTCAGAAAAGCGAGGCAAGGTCAAAATGTATTTTTTTGAATAGAGCTACACATTTTTCATTGGCTCATGGAATGCAGCTTGAAACGCTGCATATGCACCGTAAATTGTTTTTTTTCTTACTTGCGACGTTGGCAGATTATCGCCATTTTAGTAAAATTTTGCTTAAAAACATGGTATCTAAAAATTCATTGTAGAAGCAGAAAAAAGCAGTTAAAAAAAATACGGGTTTYCAATCACCACAGATCCGTTAAGAATTCTATTGAAMMAAAATATCAATACATTGTACAGGGTGTTAACAATGTGGACTTCAAGCTAAAACTTTTTAACGCAAWATAACTTTTRTTTTTCAAATGAAAGTACCTGYATATTAATACGTCATTAAATAGACAATTTACAAGGTACAAATTTGCATTTACACTTGAAGCTGTGAAATCAACCGTTTCCAAATCATAATTGATTTTATTTAAAAATTTGAAAAGGTTGTTACATTTTGTAAGGTGGCTATGGAATTCAATAAATAAGCATCAAAAACTGATTATTCTTGACATTTATGGTGCATATGCAGCGTTTCAAGCTGCATTCCATGAGCCAATGAAAAATGGGTAGCTCTATTTAAAAAAATACACTTTGATCCTGCCTCGCTTTTCTGACACTCTGTATCATATAAAATATTTTTTAAATGTGCGTACTTTGTGCGTCAAAAACTTTTATATGAAACTATTTTTCGAAAGTTCAACACCAACGGAAATAATAGACTCTCTTGCACTAAAAAACCACCCTGTATCTTACTTTGGAATCTTCGCTGCTTGTCGCAGTTAGTAGTAATCACAGACCACAGCGGTACTCTGTAATCTGTGGTAGTAACTTAGAAGTAAGGTGTAAATTAATAAGATGCCCATGCTAGCAAGCAGCTAGCATGGAGAGAATGCGATGCTATGGCATACGGATGCTGGAGCTGACAAATTCTTAGAGAGGACTACAAGTTTTAAAGGATAACTCCCGAAAACTCGTAGTACAAAAAAGAGGGTTTTTTAGTTGATAAGAATCCAACACTACTCAGGGTTCGGAACACTGGGTGTCTTCGCGAAGATTTTTATTCCTACAGCCGCCGGGCAAACCAAAAAAAAAGTGCTTGTCGCAGCAAAAAAATGCAAGATGTATTTCTTATTTGGAATGCAACAAAGAACTGGAAAAGCAATTGTCATAATTTAAGAAAATAGTGACGTTCCATTTTTTCCTTATTTTTTATTATTTCGGAAGCGCGCAGGTACGCACGCCACTGGTAAACTTTAACAAAACTATTTTATTGCAAAACATGACTTAAAATTAATAATTCCGGAAGGTTCTTTTAAAAAACTATATTTTGACTAATACAATCGTTTCTTAACTACAGTGGAATTAAACTGTGGCTGAAGCACAAATGGCCCGTCAATAGCTTATATAATTTAATAGTGTATATTCAGCAGAAACGTGGGCTACCTGTTGGTCAGCATTATTACTATACAAGGTTGCCCATAACTCATGCCTCTTTCCTAGCTATTGACCCGTAGAAAATTTTCTTAAAATATATCGATGCGTTTGGAAAGAATTTGTCATTTTGGATTTTTTTCATTAAATTTCAACACCCTATAAATCGCATCGAAGCATTTTTGAGCTATCCTTTATACAGGGTGTCCCACCAGGAACCGCCCCGATCGATATCTGGCAAGCTCTAATTAGGAGAAATTTGAAAATTGAACAATGTGCCGAAGTTATTGGGAGCAAGCGATTTTCAAGATGGCCACCCTTCCGGTTATACCGGAAGTAGGTATCAACTTGCTTATTTTAAATGGAACACCCCATTACATTTTTCAAATTAAGTAGCACATATTCCCTTATAGGAAAAATTAATAATTATTCGAGTGGCTGTAACTGGCAACAATTTTATACCTAAAATTTGAAATATATCAAAAACTGTTATACTTAAGTATAGCATGTTATACTTGAAACATATTTAGAATTTGGAGCAGAATGAACTGGTGGCCATTCAAGGTGGCCATCTTGAAAATATTTTAGATCGCTTACCCCCAATGACTTCGGCACATTGTTCAATTTTCAAATTTATCCTAATTACAGTTTGCAGATATCGATCGCGGCGGTTCCCGGTGGGTCACCCTGTCCTGGGTGATTTTTCCGATGACTAGCACACAAAGCTTGGAAACTACAGAAGATACGAAAAAGGTTAAATGGATATAAAGAATTGCAGTTCTCAATGCATTAGTAGAATATCCTACTCGAAAATAATTTTCTTTTTTCAAAATTTGACAGGTGTCAAGAGATATTTGAAGAAAACTAATTTATGCCAGATTTTTAAATAACTCCTAATTCAGTCAGTATTAATCTGACAGGAAAATATTCAATAGAAACGTTTTATACAATTGTATTCCAAATAGAATGACATAAGATATTCTTACAAATTAACTCTCATTTTTGATAGATATGACATAAACTTGTGTTTTTTCAAACGGAAACCATATTTGGTTATGCCTCTATTAAATAGAGCATTTTATTACAATTTTTTCGAAAATTAAGTGTATTCGAATGAGTTTTACATTTTTAATAAACTTGATCGAAGTTAGCCATGGAAAATAGTATAACGCTTACAGCATTGTTTCCATAGTTCCAAGTTTGTGTCATATGTCAAAAATTACAGTTAATTTGTAGATGTCTCTTGCTATTTTCTTTGGAATGCAATTTTCTACAATTTTTCTAATTAATGTTTTCCTGACAGATTAATATTGACGGAACTAGTCATTGAGTTATTTAAAAATCGGCCAAAAATCAGTTTATTCAAATATGTCGACAGCTGTCAAATTTTAGAAAATTAAAATTGGTTTTGAGCAGTGTATTTCTTGTTCATTCAACTTTCGTTGTATCTGCTGTAGTTTCCAAGATTCCTGTGCTGGTCATCAAAAAAACTCACTCTGTATAGCGAACTAGGGTTATTTGTGGACCTAGAATACATGGTTAAAAGAATGCCCCTTCTTCATGAACCACCTTGTATATTGAAGAAATACAGACATAAAATTTTATATACTGAACTTGTCGCGATACCACATTCAATCATTGAAAATTAACTTTAGAAATCTTAAATTGTTAAATTTAAGTTTGTTACTTTCTTGTGATTCAGTTGCAATTAATTTCTTTTCGAAAAAATATTGGAAACATTAGTAGGAAAAATATGAACGGAAAATTATTTTATTTTAAAATCAGGTGGATATATACATCATTATATTAAAATCAGGTGGGTAGGCACAAAAAAGTTATTATTATTTAGAAATTAAATATTAGAGCCATGTGGATCCCTCTGTAAAATTTGCGATAAACCCTAGAATATAATTATTTTTTAATTTTTTATTTCAGTATCTAAAGATTCCCGTGAATTATTTAAAAAAAATAAAATAAAATGTTAATTTTGCCACCCTGTGTTTTCAAAAACAAAGCCGTTTTCAATATATGTTCGAATGATATTTTTATCCTAAAATTAGCTTTAATATCGACCGTTAAATCCTGCTACCATGAACTAGCTCACCCTGTATAAGTAAAAAAATTTGTGAATCATGTATTCATAGTAGAGATGCACTGTTATGAAACAGTGTTGTTAATTCTGGGTTCATTTTTGCTACTCGCAAAGCTGTAGCTTTACCATAATCCTATCTCACCCAACACACTGACGTCAGTTCACGTGAGTATCACGTCAAATTAAGATAAAAATTGTGAAAAACGTGATTTTAGTTCATAAGCGTCGTGAATAAGTCGTGACTTTTGATCCTAATCTCGTTATAAAAGCTAATACGTATTCTGAAATTAAATTATTATTGACAAAACTTTATTATACAGGATAGTAAAATGTATCAGAAGACAGCGAGATTTTAAGGAAGTAAATATTAAAAATAAGCATTATACTTGCTGTATTCCAACAAAAAGATTAAAACCGGAGTTAAATTAAATAAATGTTTTAGTACAATGTAGATATCTTTGAAATCAAAAATCTGAAGAAATTTTTTTTGAAATATCATGCGGTGTAGTTTTAATTTTTACCTAATTATTAATTTTTTGTTATTTATTTTAGCTACTTTTTTATGTATTTGTTTTTTTTCTTGTTTCTTCGTAGTATCTTCGGCATTAGCATTTAAAGCTACGAACTGAAAAGCGGATCAGGTATATGAATTTACTACTTTTCATGATATTTTTTAACATTTTTTCTTTCCGCCTGGTTAAATTTTTCAACTTTGAAAAGTGTTACATCACAGAATTAAGAATTGATATTGATATATTGACATTAAGTACAGATATCGGCTAAACGATCGAAGGCAAAACAGCTGAATGCTTATAAACTGGTCATATCCTAATGAGTTGATATTGGTTGAAGTGTCTTAGACAGTAAGCTTCAGTACACGCGTTCTTTTAAAACGTTGAATTTAAATACGGCTTAAAGTACTTCTGTTACAGGAATTTATGCGGTCGAACTACTGATCATTCAATGGGGTTTACAACTGAGTCATCTTGTCTCCAACTTTTTCTGCCTTTCAAGTCAATAATTTCTTGCCATGTTTTTCGCAAAAGCCTGAAACAACGTTTTATAATTAACCAATGGCTTATAAACCCGTAAACTTTTTCAACCGATAAATACTCGAAATCTGTGCGCAAAAATCATCTTAAAAATAATTAAAAAAAATTGCGATGGTACCGGGATCCATCAAATTACCAACATATAAGACAATCTTTATAATTTACACGAATTGATTTGTAAAAAAAAGTTGCTTTCCAATACTAGAAATTACTTACAAGGCCTCAGCGCTGAGATCTGCGCAGTTTGGCAGGAAGCTTTTCAACAAATCGGTACAAGGTAAAACGATGATGTTCAGAAAATTTACTTGATCTTCTGGAATCTGAGCTGATTTCTCTCGATCCATCAGGGACAAAGGAGTTAAGCCCATAGCTTTTTCTTTATCACCTTGATTGTAGAACTCTTCTAAAATATGAATGCGATAGTCGTCATTTAGAAATAATTAATTATGCTTATTAAATAAGACAAGTGAAGCAAATTTTAAAGAAGCTGCAATTGTTTTAAGTAGCGCTTTTTAGTCAATAATACTGGCGCAGAACTGCTTTACTCCACATCAGTTTTTATTGTATAAAATAATGTTTAGATCTCACATCGCAGCTTAGTGTTAAAGATAATTTTTGTGTTGATAAACGATAATAAAAATACTAATTTACGGAGTTTTTATAAAAGTTCCTGATGAATGAAATTTCAATGAATTGTTTTCCATGCCTGACCTCGATGCTTATTTCACGAAAACACTAGCTTAAATGTTCCTTATGAATACTGCCTTTAGCATGAATTCAGCAATCAGGTGTTCAATTGTGGGCCCCTCTCACTTGTCTTTACACACCATTTTACTTTTCTACAAATTTTTTGTAATAAACAACACACACATCTGATGTCCGCTGGTTTCTCATTTTGAACATAACGTCCTCATATGGTAATGATGGTCTCCGGTGACCTACTTATAGGGTCCACAAGGAAGGTAAACTTCCTATACTAACTAACTAAACTATATTAATTATTCCGGTACGCTCACTTTTTCTGAGATGGAATCGAAAATGTTTAATAATTCATCAGAACTATGTAAATCATTTTGAAAGTCAGGAATTTTGCTTCACGCTTGAAAAGAAAAAAACAGTGATTGAAATGGCTTTTAGAACTATTCAGATTTTTCTAACCACTTCCGAGAAACAAACTGTTTTTAATTTGTACGATTTTATATTTCAACTTATATCTGGGTTGGATATTAAGACTTTGATCTGAAATCCAATAAGGGTTAGGGGGGGAAGGTAGTTTTGTACGGCTGAATATTTCAAGGAAAATGGAGTTTTTGAGGTATTTGAAACTTTGAGGACTTCTAAATATGAGACAATTTAACTCCTATCTCTTAGATTATTAGAATTATAACCTGAAAAATCCAAATTGACAAAACATACCCTTGCGATCGGCTATTGAAAGTGCCATTAGGACTTCCGATTCTTAACCGTTGCGGAGACATGCCGTTTTCAGATTATTGATAAACTTCAGACACCTCAAAAAACACAAAGTCCGATCTTGAATTCTGGTAGAGCAAAAGAAAATCCCGCGAATGCTATTATAAAAAGATCCTTACAAAGGATGCAAAATTTCACCTCTTTATCTTCAAGTGATAGTAGTATAGTGGGGGGGACCCGAAGGGTCCTGTGAGAAGGCCTAAAAGGCCCTTTTCGCCATTCCTCATCCATTCATCCCCACCTTACCACTCCTGATCTTCGCCACCCAGGCATCCCGTTTCCCTGACAAAGGCAAGAATCCGTTTCCACTCCAAGGAAGACAATTTGATGCGGGAGAGTGTGGAGGCACTTCCTAGTAGACAAGGGCGGATCCAGGGGGGGTGTCATGGGGGTCATGACCCCCTCCCCTTGTGCTGGGTTTACAGCAACTAACGCTAATTTTCTGATTTCATACACAACAAAAGTCTGACTTTCTTCTACTTGTTGGGATTTCCACCTTAAATTTCCGTTCAAATCTAAGCCCTCTGTCAGATGTGACCACCTTTAAAACGTTGACCACATACGATTGGCCCCGACCCCGACGCATGGCGGTCCCTATTTTTTAATGTCCTTGAGATGGGTGGTTGTCATGCCTTGTAGAGCTACATTCTATCCTCTGTAGCGCCGCAGCGGCCTCCCTACGTATCCACAGGGTTAGCTCAAGGAGGGGCTCAACGCTAAGGAGGTCAGGTCAGTCTTTGCAGACCCGCCAGTTTTCTTCTCCTTCTCCTGCTCCATCGCCGGGCCACCAGACCACGTAGCCAGAACAGAGCCTCGGTCTTATAGCGGCAGTGTACAACCACTTTATAACTTGTGGTTTTAGGCCCCAGTTTGCCCAATTTTAGGCCTCTCCCACGTGGGCAAGAGCTTTTCCGGACAACATTGGCGCCTTATATTCTTTAATTTTTCTAGTCATGGTAAGAGTAATGGTAATCCGGCACTGGTGCACGATCTTTCTATTATTCTACATGCAACCTGCATTCTCTCGCAGACAACTCCCAGAAACTTTCCCTTAACGAGGACTAGGCCGTCGTCCGCATAGGTGTCGTTGTAGAACCGCCCCAGAAGCTCGTCCGTAATCCGACACCACAGGCGGGGGAAAAGGCAGCTGCCTTGTGGACTCCCCTACCTCGATCTGCAGCCGGTCGCACCTTATCGCACTCCGGACCCAGTTTATTATTATCAAAAGATACTTCCTCTGTTAGGTACCTGTATATAATCTTTTCTAACGTTTTCATAAGAAAATACGTTAAACTTATGGGTCTGAATGATTTAGCCTCGGGGTAGTTAGTCCCTTTTACCGGGTTTCTGATTAAAGACGACTTCCGCTGACCGCCAATCATTAGGGACATATCCCATCGCCATCGCTGACCCTGAAGATCCTTTCCAGAAGCAGGAGTAAGATATCTAGGCTCGACTGCAGCCTTTTTGGAATTATCCCACCTGGATCTGCGGCTTTTATATGGAGAAAATTACGAAACCGTTCATCTGATAGTCATCACTGACTACTTTTTTGGCCGCGGTCCAGTAGCATTCGTTGGGACAGACCTTGACCTTCGAGCCCCCGGTGCCCCCGTCGCCTGGGAAGTGTTTCGCTAGAAGAAGTTGTATGGTCTCCTTTCTCGTTTCCGTCCAGGTGCTATCTTCCTTCTTAAGGGTTCTTATAATGTTTCACCTCTCAGGCGCTGAAGGACTTCATTCCACCACGGGACAGTAGAGGTTCCAACCACCCTAAGTTCACACGATTTCTAAAGGCTGATGTTATGGCATCATTTAGCCTTCTTACCACGGGTTGCTCTCTGGAGGTTATGTCACCTTCGATATCTTCGAAAATGCGCTCAAAGTGTCTTTTCATTCATGAGTTGATCACATATGTGTGGATGTGCCATAGGGCGTCTTTAAGTAAAAACTACCGATCGGCTTAAATAGCCAGATTTAATTGAAATATATCTTGCTAGCTTAGAAAGCCACATATTTATAAGATTTTCATACATTTTTGTTCATACTAACAAATTATTTATCATATCATTTAAGTAAGTATGTTTAGACAGCGGGTTTGCAACTGAATTTCGGGTATTGTTCTGCATTTGTTTATTATTAGAATTACAGTTAATAGTAAATTAAACGGTTTTCGAAAGCTGGACAAAAAACTGAACTCACATCAGCTGTTTGTTTATTTTAATTAAAAACTGGATTGATGCTACGGTTTACATGTAGGTTCATCACACACAGTATCGAGTCTTTTAATCAAAATAATCACCTAGTGTGAGCGAAGACTTTTGCTCAGGGAGACAGTTTAATTCACTATTAACTGTTACCAAGATTTGTGATATTTCCTTGATGTGCCTTGACCGATCTAAAACACAAAACTCAAGATATCGTCCTTTTTTTATATTAAAAATAGTCTTGAATATGACCCGAATAAGATGCCGAAACGTTTACAATGCCACGTACGTTTTGTAGATCGTATGAGGTAGGCCTGGGTAACTCAGTGAATTTTTAGGCGCTGGTGGTGCGCCAACTGAACGCACCGGCGCAGTAACTCAGTTCCGTTGTTGAGAAAACGTTTCTTAAACTATTAGTAAAAATGAGGTGACCTCTACTTAGTTGTTTGGATAAAGTGGTAAAACATTACTGAAAAAAATGTCGGAGATCTTTTTTTTAGATGTTACTATTCTAATCTCGGATCTGGTAAAGTTTAAATCCACTTTAATAAATGAGTTATGATTCATCGCTTAAGGAGTTCTAAATCATCAACTCAGAGAGCGGCAACAACTGAAAAACGCAACTCAACACAGTGTTACCCAGGCCTAGTATGAGGCATCTAAGGTGCCTTGTCCTAGATAATGACGAAAATAAGTAGGCAATTTAATAAAATATCTTACTGATCACATTATCGGTCAATGTCTTGGCAACCATGTAGGGTTTACAGGATCCGGACAAATCACAGCTGGTCATCATTATAGCTTTGCAGAGCTGTCGGTGATGTCTGTTTCCCCAGTCTAGTCCCTGATCATTGCTGATCTGCAGGAGCTTGATGCGAACTTTGAAATAGTTGGCCAAGTCCGTGGCAAGGATACAATGTTTCATTTCTGCGCTGATTTGCTGCCATAACTCAGTCGGAATATCGTAAAACGGAAAAGCCTAAAACCGTTTTAGCCAAGTTGGTACCTAGCGCTTATTCTAGAAATAGACCGAAGTTAGAACGCGCGATTACCACATTATATTGATCTGAGAGTCTTAGTCCTGACCTGAATTTTAAAATACATTTTGACGCAAGTAATGCCACAAATGCAAATTAAATACAGTCAGAAAGAGCGAGTAGAAATATCTTACTATACAGAAAAAAAAAATATATATATACAGGGTGAATCAAAATTGGCTTCATTCCTTTTAAGGAGTAATAACGGAGTACGAGAAAACTATTCAATTTTTTTTTCGATAATTTCTACAAGATTTTAACAATTGAAAATCGAATTTCAACCTTGTTAAACATTATTTTGAAATTTTTGATATCAAAAAAGTTCTCTTTTACAATTTTTTGATGTAAGGTCAAAGCGGCAATGATATTTTTTTGTCATCAATAGATAGTTACACGTGGATAGCACTTGTCAATAATACCAATAATTGGTCAAACCGTGACTTACTTCGAAGCTCCTTTCACGAATTTGCGGATATGCGATTAGTACCAGAGAAATGCCACAGTAACATAGCAGAAGTGATAAGAACTCACGCCAACAAAGGGCTAGAGATACTGGAGATTGTTCGGGTTCCAGACCCAGAGGAACAAGAATTGGAGATGCTTGCAGCTAGGACTGGGTAAATCAATGAATTTTTCGGGGTTGGCAAAGTGTTGCGCAAATGCAACGGCGCTACGTAACGTAACTCAGTTTCGTTGCTTGGAAATGTTGATGACTTTTTTCTTTATTTTAAAGGACATTAATAACAATATTTTTAAAATGTCTTCAAATTTCAGAATTTTTCAGTTTCAGCCAAGTTACTCTTTCTTCACTTAAAAATGCTGTCAATATTAGGTATTTTCAGTGAAAAATTATCGTACTATCAATATCGTCGTTTTGTAAAAAATGAAACAATTTTCTATAAAAAAACGAAAGTTTATAACAGATTATTTGGACATATACCTTCATCACCCTAAAGACTGTAGAATTTGTTAAAAATGTGGTTTTTTAGTTTTGACTAATTTTTTGGCTTTACTTTCTACTTAAAAACGCTCTATTTTGTAGAGTTTCACTTAAAAATGCTGACGATCTGGAGGACGTTTACGCGAAAAATTACAAGGTAAATTTATAGCTTTGTGAAAATTTTATAAAAACTTTTTTCAGTGTCGAATTCCGGACTTAAACTAAAATAAATTCCTACCGTTTTTTCCGGAAAACCATCAAGGTTTTCTCCAAAACCAATTAGAAAACTAAAAGTTTTTAATCCAAAACCCAAAAAGCATTTTTTTCTGGTGGTTTTCTTCTTTTTTGACAATAATAGGGTGGTTTCAGCCAAAAATTACTAAATTAATGTTGCTAGAAAATTCGCCTCATTCATGCCAGCATTTGCAGGGTACTTTAGAAAACTTTTTTACCGAAAGTAATTAGGACTATCTTGAAAAAACGACCACAAAGCAAAAGTCGCCGCCCTCATCGCTCTGAGGATTTCTAAAGTTCCTCTAAGTTTTCAGGTCATTCCAGTTTTGGCAAAGTTTCCATTAGGTAAGCAATTCTTTCTACGCAAAAATCGCATTATTTTTTAGTTTTACTTAAAATACTGGCAATGCTCAGGCATTTTCTGTGAAAGATTATAAGATACATTTTATTAGAACACTGCGCCTCCTTAACCGCTTTGCAAAAATGTTTAGAAAACTTTTTACAGCTTCGAATTATGGACAAAACTCTAATAATTATTAGTAGGTCCTTTTCCAAAAATATTTCCTCGAACTGAAAAAGCGAAAGTTTATAATCATTTATTTGGAAAACACTTGGAAACTGGAATTTCTTTACTTTTAGGTCAATATTTATAAACAACACTGTCTCTAAACAGAAAAACCGCGTTTTTCCTAACGTTTTCCTGTAAAATACTACTGAATCTTTTATGCAAAAAAATGAAGAGATCGATTTTATATAGAAAACATGTCGACTTTCTTTGGACTTAGTTCTGTTGCTGGGAAAATCTAGATTACTCTTTTTTAGTTGTTTTAACAAAGGAGTAAAACGTTACTCAGAAAAAATGTTAATAACCCTTTTTTAGATGTGAAAATTCTCGATCTCGGGTCTCGTAAAGCTTTAAGAAATGAATTATAACTCGTTAACCGATGAGTGAGAACTCGTTAATTCAGAGAGCGGCAACAACTCAATAGCGCAACTCGACACAGTGTTAGCCAGGCCTAATTGCAGCAGAGCCTTCCAGGGGCACTCAGAGCATTGCACAACAACTGACATTTTCCCAGGCTCCAAAGAAATACCGAGGAAGGGTGTGATTAAGATATTGACAAAAGCAAAGAGGAAAAAGACTTATTCTATGAAACACTACAGGAAGAAGTAAGGAAGATTCTAGTAACAGAGAAACTCGTTACAATGGGCGACCTAAACGCCAGAATTGGGAACAACATAATACCCGGAATAAATCATCGATTTAAGGAAGACCATCTTAACGGCAATGGTGAAGCATTTCTTCTGAAAGACTTCTGCACCCGCCACAATATGAGAATAAGCAGCAGCTTCTTCAGACATAAACCGCAACACAAAATTACCTGGCAAAATTCTCGAGGACAGTGCTCCACAATAGACTATATCATATCAAATAGAACCATACACCCAACTGAAGTATTAGAACCCAGAAGTCTAACTTCCGCCAACATGGGTTCTGACCATTTCTTAGTCGTGTGTACGTTCCGAATAAGAATACAAAAAAAGAACTCCTGCAAACATCAACAAGGAAAAATTCAATATAGAATCTATCAGAGACCCGACCACTAAAGAACTCTACAACGCCTATCTCAAAAAATTGAAATTAACTACATCACAGAGCAAAATGACGTAGAAAAGTGTGGGAATAAAGTGAATACAAATATCGCAAATGCAGCAACTGAAGCTATAGGCAAAAGAAAAATCTCTACAAATAACGCCTTCCGAAACAATGGTATACCACAGAAGCACTAGCAAAAGAAAAACGGATTGCCTACTTAGCATTCAGAAGCAATAGAACACCTAAAGTACGCAACCACTAAAATCAAACAAGAAACAGAGTCAACATAGAAATAAGAAATATCAAACGAAACTACTGGGAGCAATTCACCACAGAAATGGAACCCGACTTATATGGCGCGCAAAAGAAAATCTGGGAAATGCTGAGAAGAAGAAAACTCGACATTACAGAATACGGGCAAACACAACAAATAGACGAAGCAAAGTGGAAAGACTACTTTAAAAAATTATATGCCAGCGAAGAACAAGAAAGGCTCGAAGAAGAAAAGGCGGAAAATCCGGAACCGGTGGAAATATCAGTGGAAGTCACTAAAAAATTGCGAGATAGATTAAAATAGAAAGGCGCCTGGCTTAGATGACATACCAAATGAACTATTGAAAGAGGGCGGACCAGTACTAATGGCGAAACAAAACTGTTCAATAAAATTTTAACAACTAGAACAATCCCAAACGAATGGAAGAAAAGTATCATTATTCCGATATTCAAAAAAGGTGATAAGAAATCTCCTGAAAACTACAGAGGCATCATCTAGCTCATCATCACTACTAGCCTCAACTATGAAACTGTTCACAAACATTTTAGAATCAATTATCACCGAACCTTTAGTTATGTCAGAAGACCAACAATGTTTCAGAAAAAATACATCGACGCTGGACGCTATCTTTACAATCAGGCAATTGTCGAAAAAGCCATTGAGTACGGAAAACCCGCATTTATGTGCTTTATCGATCTCACCAAGGCCTTGGATCGAGTAAAATTGTTTGATGTTATCAACATTTTAAGGAGGAAACACATACCTGAAGCTATTATACGAACTATCAAGCAGTTAAACGTCAACACTTTGACTCACATCTTAAAGAACCAAAAACTGACAGAGGAAATTCCACCACCATCGGGAATTAGACAGGGAGATTCTCTAAGCCCCCAGCTGTTTAACATCATAAATGAGATGATAAGTCACGTCAAGAACTCGGGCAGAGCGTACAGACTTACTTACAACTGGCGAAATAAAAATCATTTGCTATGCCGACGACGCTGTAATCATAGCTGAAAGCGAGGATGACCTTCAAAGACTCTTGCACTATGTCAAAGCTATGGCCTACAACATTCAAATATCCACTACCAAAACAAAAACACAATCATCTCCTAAAGTGTGTCAAAGTACCTTTGAATCATTTCCTCGAAGGTTTACGGCATCGAATGAGGAAAACAGATATGGGACTTAACCATACTTACTTTGTAGATGAGCATGGCTACTTGAAAATGATGGTTCTCCAGAAATGATTCATCATACAGTTGAGACAACGTCTGTTCAGTTTTTTGTAAAAAATTGTTAGTGTATCCCCCATGATCTAAATCATGGCACACGCAGGCTATAATAAGAGCTTTTATCTGAAAAATCACCCATAAGTATAGACGTTCTTTACATAACGTAGCATATGCACCTCTACATTGGTAAATAAGGATTTATTTCGCAATAGAATGTTGTACATGCAATGTGCAACGTTAAAAGCATGTTCCCAGTTATGATAAGGGTTTGGTCGATAACACTTTCTAACAGTTAAGATAAATTCTTTTAGGGCATGTACATTGACTTCTTGAAATCCTACCACTGTTCTAATCATGTAGTAAACCATCTGTGGCATAATTGGTTCTTCATCGATAGAGACGTACCATCTGAAACTGGAAATGACAAAAATGATTACGAGATAATTTCTAACTTCGAAATGTATTACTCGCTGAATCCGCTGGGTATTGAAACTTCGGGATTTTTCGAAAAGTTTGAAATATCGTGCACACAAGGCTTTAGTTGCAAACTGAGAAGGTTCAAATTAGATTCATTTAAAAGGTCCTGAAAATGTTAGATTGATCATAATTTATATATTTTGTCAATGATGAGAATGCTCTATCTAACCGTACGATGCATTTTATCATTCAATTTGGCATAGTGCAAAGCAAGAGCACAGTAGACTGAAAATGTTTTGAATAAGTTCTCATCTGACGATGTAAACACCACTCCGTTCATCTTGTTAACTACTTGAACCACACCTGAAAAGTTAATGTAGATATGAAAAAGACAGTTGACTATATGCTCTCTATAGCCCTTTAAGTACATTTCATTGGTTATTATGATTAGACAAGAAACATTTGATTTTAATAATACAAACACTCAAAATAACAACAAAATAATACAGTTTGTATGTTTTCGCAGAAGACATATTTGACACAATCATTCTTCATAGGACTCTTTTGCTCTTTGCTGTAAACATGATAATTCAGCTAATTTGATAGCTCGAGTTGCTCGAGGCTCGTAAGGGCGCAGTCAAGTGAATTGGCTCGATTCATCACATGAGACCTTGTTCTGGGATAGATTTAAACCGTTTTTATTTTTGGTTTTTATTTATCAGTTTACAGCTTGTATTTTGTGAGAGAAAAATATTCTAAGCGCATTTGCATCTCACACGGGTAAACGAAACATAGACTTTTCATATCACCAACACTTTTTGTTAAATTATAAAAAGTAACAAGTTCTGTGCAGAATTTGTTCGATTTGTGTTTCTTCTTGGTCATCGAGGTATTGGGCAGCTTGGGCATAAGTTCTATTTGTCCTTTTTGGTTGGAACGTTGTGATAATGATGGGCACGGTGTGGAAATAATTTTCTTCTCTCAAATTGGCGAATATAATTTTTGTTACAGCTGTTTCAGCAGCTGTAGATTTCGCAGCCTCGGTAGTTTGCGCGGTGTTTACTCGAGCAGTTGGTGCATTTCACATTACCATCTCGCATTTTTCGAGGCAATTCGTCGTTAGATGACAGTCGGCATATTTGACGCATGGGGGTGTTTTACAGTAATTCTTGAGCCGGCATGCATAGTCGATCTTTTACGATGCGCCGGCCTCCCGACGTTCGCATGAAGGAAAATTTGGTTGCACAGTAGATCGGTTAGTAGCATTTAAATGTTGATCGGCGTTGAGGTGGGAATTTGTCGGAGAGGGGTGTAGGCATCTCTGAGTGATCGTCAAAGCTATTTTGTGAGCGAAGCTGAAAATTCTTAACTTCTCGTTTTTTTTATACTATTTTCTTTATTTCCATATGGCGTTCCAGTGCCGACTTTTAAAATGACTTCAACAGCCAACTAAAAGCACTGCTGAACTTTTACCTGAAAATTAATACTATCACCGCAAAAGCGGACGGCGCGATATTGCGCATGCTCATTCTATGGGAGACGAACAACTTTACATCAAAAACTCGTTGCCTTTGCGTCGACGGCGGCACGCTCGGCTATCCGCCAAAACATTGCCCGGCAAAGTGCCGACGATCGACTATGCATACCGGCCTTGGTGTGTCCGAAGTCTCGAAAATGATTGCATTTGCATGATGATTCTTGTTATTCGTGGTGGCTCAAATTTGACTATTTTATGTCCCAGTAGGGTCGTGGGCCATCTTTGTTGTTCATGTTCGTTTTTAAACCTTTAAATCATATTGGAATATTAAGCTTTATAATTTTGTGTTTTATATTGTAAACATCAGTCACTACGTGTCCACGGGTCCGTAGTTCCTTGATGATGTACTCTGGATTAGTGAACGGGTGCATTCCTTTTAGTACTGTTCTGTAAGTTTTCTCGGACTTTGGTTTACATGTGTGGTAGGTATTTGGTTCCTTTTTCATCTAGAATTTCAATCAGGATAGAAAAGTGTTCTGGGTTTGTTAGTTGGATTTTCAACGTTTCCGAGCCAATAGTTTTGATCGCATAATATTCTATGTTATGCTCTTGGAGTACCTACTTGGTGAATATTATCAGTGTATTGGACGTTGTACACAGTTATTGGTGGAGGCTGGAGAGGTTTAACGAAGGTTAGATCGTCTTCGGTATTGTCTTCTACATCTGGTTCCAAATCACCAAAAGTCTTGATGGTTGGTTTACACCAATTAGTTTGCTTAGCCAGTAGTCTGTGAGTCTTGGCTGATTTTTACTGTGAAACTCCTCGGGGCTGCGCATGCGCTTTGAATAACTTGCAGTCTTCCAACATTTCGGTGATTTCTGATGATTGTGGTGTTAATTGCATGGGTTAAGGCCGGTATGCATAGTCGATCTCTTACAATATGCCGGCCTCCCGATATTTGCCGAAGGCAATTTTGGGTGCACAACCGATCGGTTGAGCATCTGACGCACGCTCATTTTAATGTTGTTTGGCGATGCTGTGGGAATTTGTCGGAGAGGGGTGTAGGCAACTCCGAACTATCGCCAAAACTATTTTGCGAGAGAAAAAAGAATTCCCAACTTCTCGGTTTTTAAATATTATTTTTGTTTTAAATATATAGATAACGATCTCGATGTATTGTGCAGTGTTAATCGGGATAATTCGGACTTAAAATTAAATTTGATTTACGTACCACAAAGGTACGTAAAGAAAATACCAACAAGTTGTGAGTTTGATAATATTGGTGTATTCGAGTATGCGAGTATTCGATTATTCGAGTATTCGCTTGAGAATATTCGAGTGAGTGAGAATATTCGAGTAATGACTAGACATAATTGTCTGTTATTGTAAAATAAAGAGTTTGATTCCGAGCCCTAGTTTCCACCATAAATATGTCTTTTCTTAAATAAAATAGTTATTTTGCTAGATTTTCCACGATTGATATAGTAAATTTCCGGGTTAAAAATCTGATGATTTTGATGAAATTTGAAGAACTCAGCTGGGATATTCACATCAGACCACGAGATGATCACGCAATTTGGTCATATAATTGACGTCTTTTTTAGGAGCTTACTCATAAATTACGTTTTTTGTCAGGTTCGGCGCTGGATGAGAGGAACATTTTTGTGCGTTAGTAACTTGGCTTTTGGGTTCAAAGCTGCAAATAGAAGTTTCTCAGACTCGCAAAACTGTTACCGACACAAATCGAAGCACCTGAGTGTCAGAGGTCGATTCGGAAGCTCGCCACAGATTCTATAAGAAATAAAACTGCTAATAAATATTTTTGGAGGCCAGTTCGACATTTCAAGTTTCCACCTAAAACACTGTAGATATACCTATGATTCGTAGTTAGCGACGGAAATAATTGATAACTATAATAAAGCTAGGAAACAAGGATTGCATATGTACTGTAAAAATGACAAACCTAAAATAATTTTTTCCAGGCTAACTATAGGCATGCAAAGAATAGATCGTGTGATAAATCCCGTTCTTTTTTCAACTTCAGTAAAAAACCGGGGATCGTTATATGCATCCCTCAAATTGACTGTTACTCCGGTTCTGGCTACTAATCCTGGAATACTACGGTCTTTGGCTAGACGTACTTTAATATTTTTTTTGCGCATAGTTGTTCCTTCCGAGCCATCAATTCCTTCGTCAAATACTTCTGCTGTCATATCGCTACTCTCTGGATCTATTATGAAAAATGATCCACGCTCAGCTCCTAGTGTTGCTTTGGCAAATTTCTACAAAAAGCAATTAATAAACTTTATTAAAATCTAACTTAAAGAATAATTTAGTTAGCCATGGACACAAATTAATATGAGTCTCTTGTGCGTGATGGCTGGATATGTTTCAGTAAATATCCAATAAATTGAAAAAATAAAATTATATTTAATAGGACTTAATGCTTTTTGAAAGTATTAATATCTGGCCTGTATTACACGTATTGGATAAATTCATTATTCTACCATAGAGAGAAAAGTAAAAAATGGAGAATAAAGAAAGCAACAATGGAAAAGATTAAACGATGTCAAAGGAAAATGAAAAGTGCTATGCTTGGAGCGAGATTACAAAACCGAATAAGAAACGAACATATAAGACAGAAAACAACCCACATAGCAAAATGATATTCCCAGAATATTCCTGGAACACTCATGTGATGGACATGCATATTCCTGGGACATACATGAGTTACATTATGAACATTCCATGTATGTCCCAGGAATCTGTCAGAGTTAATACACTGAATGTAGCTTATGCGAAAATTTTTCGTGTGTGGTTTTCTCACTGGATCTGGAGATCTGGAGATCTGGTGATCTCTAGCATCTTCAATGCTTCAAGTCCACAACAGCGACATT